AAAATCTGCTCACCACCTAAACGAGGTCGGAGTGGAAGATTCAGACGGGCCCCCAGGACATGGTGGTCCGACCATGGCACTGCCGAAACAGTGATCCGGTCCACCAGAACTCCCGCTGCAAAGATCAGATCGAGCGTGTGACCGGCCCGATGCGTGGGGGCCGAGATGAACTGGGAGAGTCCCAGCGTCGCCATGGACGACACTAGGTCCATAGCCCGGCTGGAGGTCGCGTCCTCAGCATGGACGTTGAAGTCACCCAGGACTAATAGTCTAGGGTGCTCCAGCGCCCAGCCTGATACGGCCTCCAGCAGGGATGGCAGGCTATCGGCTGGGGCGTTAGGTGGTCGGGACACCAGCCAAATCGCCAAACTCTCCTCAGCCTCCAGCAGCAAGCCGACACATTCAATGCCCGCGATCTCCACCTGCGGGAGCGCCCTGAAGGAGTAAGCCTCCCGAATGAAAAGTGCCCCTCCTCCCCCCCGCCCCCTAGTCCGTGATTGATGGAGGACCGAGAACCCCGGCGGGGCGAGTTGGGCGAGCGCTACCGTCTCGCCCTCCCGTACCCAGGTCTCGGTCATGCACGCCAGGTCTGCTTGCTGTTCCAGTATGAAGTCCCGGAGGACTTCAGCCTTGTTGTTAATTGACCTGGCGTTGCATAACATCAATACCGGAGGGGGGTTTCCAATCCTGGCCCCACTGCCAGTCACCCTCGGGATGGGTCGCAGGCTGGAAGGACGCGGAGCCGCACTGTTTCTCTGCGCCCTTCCCAGTACTTTCTGCCGTGACCCACTGCCATACTTCCCTCTCCCCAAGAGCACTGGAATAAGCCGCCCCGGCTGTTTCCTCCAGGGAAGGGCCACTTGTCCCACTTTCCTAACTCAGGATCCTTCTTGATCCTCTCATTCTGCTTAACTTCACTTCACATCCAACTGCCATTCTTAAGTGCCACTCTCAACTGTAGAATTCCATTTGAATCCCCTGTCACTCAAGGTTCTCAGACCATCAACCATTTACTCTCATTACTTCATATTTGTGTACTAATAAAATCTGAATTCTGCCATCAGGGGAAGGTTAATTAAATTCAGCAAAATTTGCTTATATTTGTATTCTGCTGGTATTAGGAAGGCTCACAAAGCTAGGTGGAGGACCAAAGGTGTGCCCTCCTAACCCCTTGGAAAATCTGTACACACTCTCAATCTGTACATACACCCTAGCTTTGGCAATATCACTAGGCAATGCCCACACACTTTTAAGCCTGTCTTGAATAGTAAGAGGTAGAAACATGTATTTTAAAAAATGAAGGCAGAATTATGTAGATGATAAATGTTATGTCCATCACTAAATTCTGTACTTCCCAGAAGTACAGACAACTCTGATAATACTCCTATGAAATGTTGATCTGGCTGATTAGTAACTGACTAACAGACTGTGCAACAGATCAGTTATGCACAAACAGGCACCATGTCTTGTGAACACCTGCTCAGCCTCCTTCCAAGAGAACTCTAGAGTAAAATATCAGGGAGATTACCCCAACCAAGTTCCTTTAAAAGCTACCTGGACTCTTTATCCAACAAGGACCACCAAGATCCTTCCATTTTTTCCACATCTGCCTGTGTCATCACTTACCAGGTGGAGTATACAAAGGATGATTGATGTAGTATGCCATCCAGGCAGCAAAGCCCCAGTAGTAAGTGCAGTTCTGGAGAAACACAAATGCATTATGAAATGGCTCCCTAATGAAATTATAGGAAAACAGATTTGATGACTGCTTCTGCTTCATGGTCTGGGAAAAGCTTAAATAGAGGTCATTCCCCACATTCCTATACAAAGTTTTAGAAGCAAATGAAAAGGAGGGCTTGGCCTTGCCTCCTTGTCCCCACTTATGTATATTGATGATAAATGTTATGTCCATCACTAAATGCTGTACTTCCCATAACTGATCTGTGCAACAGATCAGTTATGCACAAACAGGCACCATGTCTTGTGAACACCTGCTCAGCCTCCTTCCAAGAGAACTCTAGAGTAAAATATCAGGGAGATTACCCCAACCAAGTTCCTTTAAAAGCTACCTGGACTCTTTATCCAACAAGGACCACCAAGATCCTTCCATTTTTTCCACATCTGCCTATGTCATCACTTACCAGGTGGAGTATACAAAGGATGATTGATGTAGTATGCCATCCAGGCAGCAAAGCCCCAGTAGTAAGTGCAGTTCTGGAGAAACACAAATGCATTATGAAATGGCTCCCTAATGAAAATATAGGAAAACAGATTTGATGACTGCTTCTGCTTCATGGTCTGGGAAAAGCTTAAACAGAGGAGGGCTTGGGCTTGCCTCCTTGTCCCCACTTATGTATATCTCAATGCTGCTTACCTTGAAGATGTTACGCAAAGGCATTGTCCCATGGGAGAACCTATGGACAAAGAGGGTCTCCAAGAGGCGCTTGATATAATGGAAAGAATGGCAGATACAGGCTAGGCTGAAGGGAAAGATAAAGAGCAAGTTACTATAGCATGTATATGTTACAGCATATAATCTTATGGAGAAATATAAATGCCAGGAAGGAAAGCTACCTCTAAGTTTCCCCAAAGTGCTCCTGCTGTTCTGCTTTGAGCTCTCCGTGTTTTGAGCTTCCCTTAAATCAGGATGATTGATCAGAGAGCTTTTCTGCAGCCTTCCTTAATCAACTGCAGGGGTGTTGACCAATAGACTCAGAACTGCTGGGGAGGGGGGGGAGAGACTGCAGCAATAATCCTAAACTCTAAAACAGGCACAAATGTATGTGGTTACCAGGGAATACTGCCCATGCTCAATTAGGCCCAACAGCCACAGAATGAGTTCATTACTAATCTGTGTTTTTTTCTGACCGCTTGAGTACTACTCCTAGAAATGCTAGTGTAATTTAGGAAGTACAAGTGGAGACCTGTAAGAAACTTGCAGGAGCGGCTATCTCATTCCCCCCACCTCTGCTTCTTCCCCCTTCCCCTGCTTCTCTCACATTCTTCCTCCTTCCTGCCAGCCCTTTTCTTACTCTCTCTCTCTCCTCTCCATGCCTGTCACTTCCTTTTTGCCCCCACCGCGTCACTCTTTCTGCCCCTGTCACTCTCCCGGCCTCCCTGTCACTCTCCTGGCCTCCCGGCAGCAGCCACTCTCCATGAATCACAATGGATTGCCCAAATACAGAGATCAGTTTCTCTTAGGGTTGCCAGCTCTATGTTGGGAAATTCCTGGAGATTTGGGGTTGGAGCCTTGGGAGAATGACGTTTGAGCTTGGAAGTGACCTCAGCAGGGCATAATACTGTAAACCCCACCCTTTGAAGCAGCCATTTTCTCAGGGAAAACCTGGAGGTTGGCAAAAACAGGTTGCTTACCTGTAACTGAGGATCTTCGAGTGGTCATTTGTGCATCACATCTTTGGGACATAGTGCGCCTGCGCCGACCCTGATTGGTATAATGGAAAGCAAAAGGGATTATCGCACCCGCTGCCTGGTCATGTGCCGGGCTCCACTGCACATGACCAAGGGAGGGGCACGACAATCCCACCAGTTCCTTCTGACCGCTGCCCTCAGTCTCCAAAGAAAGCAAGGAAGGACCGAAAGCAGAGGAGGAGGGCAGGTGGTGTGAATGCACAGATGACCACTCAAAGATCCTCAGTTACGGGTAAGCAACCTGTTTATCTTCTTTGTGGTCTCTGGGCATCACACCTCTGGAAGACTAACAAGCAGTACCCACCTACCTGGAGGAGGGAGCTGAGGTCCTAAATCTGCGCCGCCTGCAACACCACTTGTCCAACCATGGAATGCTGATGAAGACGTACATCAAGGGCATAATGCTTCACAAATGTGTGATGCGTGGCCCAAGTAGCTGCGTTGCAGATATCTTATAGCGACGCACCTCACAGGAAGGCTGTGGATGCCGCCACTGCCTGGATGGAATGTGCCCATAGCAGACCCGGGAGCGACCTTTTAGCTAGCACGTAGCATAATTTAATAGTCTCCACAATCCACTTGGATAGGCGCTGAGATGACAGCTTCTTCCCTTGAGAGGGCAGAGCAAAAGAAACGAACAAGGCCGGTGATTTCCTAAAGGACCGTGTTCGATTCAGGTAAAAGAGTAAAGCTCTTTTGACGTCCAACGAGTGAAATCGGCGTTCTTCCTCCGCCGAAGGGGACGGAAAGAACACTGGAAGAACAATGTCCGCTTGAAGATGAAACTCAGAAACGACATCTGGAGCCAACGTGACCCCATTGTGACAGAAACTCAAATAAGGGGGGGTCACAGCTGAGTGCTGATAACTCTCCCATCCTCCTAGTGGAGGTAACTGCAACTAAAAAGGCAGTCTTCCATGACAGAAGCTGCAGACTACAAGTAGCCATAGGCTCAAAGGGTCTGTCCATAAGTCTCATAAGCACTTAAGAAACTTTTTTGTTTGAGGGTGTGAGAAAACAGAATGGCCGTCAATCGGCGGGTGATTAGCTGAGATTGTGGCTAAATAGACCTTCAACAAGGCACAGCTGAGGCCTAGGTCCAGATGAGATAATAAGAACCCGAAGATTGCCATCAGGTCAGATGGGGGGGGGGGTTTGCAATCCCAACGAGTCAATGTGAGACAAGAATTTCTTCCATTTTCCAGCGTAAGAAATCCGGGTGGACGGTTTGCAACAGTTCAATAGGACGTGATTTATTCTGTCTCTGAACACTCAAAAAGGATCCTCCAAACTAGGAGCTTGAGACGCTGCACATCGTGATTCAGTATCTGCCCTCTCTCCGCGAGGAGGAGATCTGCAGCTGGGGAAAAATGAACAAAGGAGCCCTTGGACAGGTGGAGCAGAGTGGAGAACCAATGTTGCCGGGGCCACCACGGGGTCACTAAGAGACAGAGTGGCTTTTCCTGCATTAGCTTGACTAGTACTCTGGAGATTAGAGGAATTGGAGAGAAGAGGAACACGTGAAGACGTGACCACAGGACCAGAAGACCATCGCCCAGAGACAGGGGATCTGTCCCCGCTCTGGAACAGAACAGGCGGCATTTTCTGTTGCTGCGTGTCGCGAACACGGGCACCTCTGGATGGCCCCAAAGGTGAAAGATCGGTTGGAGATATATCCAATTGAGCTCCCACTCATGCTCCGATGCATCTCCTCTGCTCAAGAAGTCCGCTTGGACGTTCAACGTCCCCAGTAGATGGGTGGCTCTTCGGAACGTGTTCCATGACTGACACTCGTCCCATAATTCCAGGGCTAGTTGACATAGCCCCCTGGATATTGTACCTCCCTGTCTGTTGATATAACACTGGGCCGTTGGGTTGTCCGTCAGGACAGTGACCACCTGCTGGGCCACCAGGTGTCGGAAAGACCTGAGTGCGTACTGCACTGCCAGCAATTCCAGAAAATTGATGTGATGGTGGGCTACCTGGGATTCCCATCGAGCCCCGACACAAATTCCCTTGAGATGTGCGCCCCATCCCCAAAGTGACGCATCGGTAGTCAACATGAGTGTTGACGTGGGCAGATGAAATGGGACTCCTGCTAGGAGATTTACCGGATCTGTCCACCAAAGCAGAGAGCCCAAAACAGTCGGTGGGAAGACCAGACGAAGGGATTGGGGTTGATTCTGTGGGTGAAACCTGCGGACGAACCACAGCTGGAGAGGTCTCATATGCAATCTGGCAAAGACACATTGATGTTGGCTGCCATCGAACCCAGCAGCCACTGGATTTCTTTTGCCGTAGCATGCCCGGTCTTGCGGAATAGGGTCACTAGATTGACAATATTCCTTGCTCTCTGGGGAGGGAGGAAGGCCTTGCAAACGACAGAGTCCAGGATAGCTCCTATAAACTGCACTCTTTTGGTGGGAAGGAGCATTGACTTTTGTAGGTTCACCTTGATGCCCAAGGATGTAAGGACGGACAAGGTTATGGGTGAGCAGGGATGCCTTTGAGTCTGCTACCAGTAACCAGTCTTCTATATAGGGAAATATCTGGACTCCCCTTAGATGGAGGTGTGCCACCACGACCACCAATAACATTCGTGAAGACCGACCCTGATTGGGACAGGCCAAATGGAAGGGCTTTGAATTGGAAATGACAATTGCCCACCACAAAACGGAGGAAACAGCGATGGGTGGGGTAGATGGAGACGTGAAAGTAGGCATCGTTGAGGTCCAATGTCACCATCCACGTCCCTGGCTTTAGGAGTGGAAGAATGAACTGTAATGTTGTCATCTGGAACTTTTTGTATAGGATGAAAGAGTTCAGTTTTCTGAGGTCCAAGATGGGGCGTAAGCCTCCGTCCCGTTTTGGTACCATACAGTAACGAGAGTAGAAGCCCGTGAGATATTGGGCTACGGGTACCGGCTCTATAGCACTTTTACTGAGAAGGGCTTCAACCTCTTCCAGGAGGACGACTGAAGGTGATGTGATGACGACGTGGGTAGAGGAAGGAATTTGGGGAAACTCTATGAGGTATCCCGATTTGATTATTGACAGGACCCATAGGTCTGACGTAATAAGCTTCCAAGTCGACAGGTGAGGAGACAAGCACATAGGGAAAGCAGGGAGGAGGTAAGAAAGACTCTGGGATTCTTAGTGGTTTTGGGTCTAGATTGGGATGTAGACGAAAACTTGGGTCTTCCTCCATAAGGACGAGACGAATGACATAGGGACCTTTGCCAGTGTCGCTCAGAAGACGATTTTGATGAGGGTCTGCTGGACCATTGCTTGGTCCACGGTTTTCCCTTGTGGAGTTTTGTAGGAGGTGTAACCCTAAGGCTGCGAAACGTCTTGATGATTTTGTCGAGCTCTTGAAGCACTCCGATGTGGAACTAAAAAGTCTATCACCCTCAAATGGAAGGTCCTCTATGACGGCTTTAGTGTCTGGCTATAAGGCAGATGAACGAAGCCATGCGTGCCGGCGTAAAGCGACAGAAGAAGTGAGAGTTTTTGCCGCTACATCCAGCGAGTGCTTGGAAACGTTAAGTTGATGTTTTGCCAAAAGCATTCCTTCTGTCTGGATACGCCTGGCTTGATGACCACAGTCATCAGGGAGGGTCGAAATAAATTCCAAAGGGCATACTGATAGCGTCCCATGCAAGCAGCATAGTTAGAGGATTTGATACCCATAGCTCCAGCGGTATGTTCTCCCAAAAGAGTCACTTTTTCTTCTCTCCTTGTCTGGAGGGGTAGAGTGGCTACTCTTTCTTTTTGATGAGGTAACCACTAACAAATTCAGCTTTGAATGGATGAAGAACTGTGCCCCCAATTCTTGGATCTTGTACATATGAACCAACCTCTTATCGGACATCGAGACGGACGAAGGATGAGGCCAAGGAGCTTTGGCTGTCTGCAAAAGGACCAAAGTAATGGGAAGGGCGACTGAGGTCGACGTGTCCATCTGGATGATGTCGAAGACAGAGTCTGTGACTGTCGGAAGAGGCTGGATGGTGGGTAGAGCTAACGTGTGTGCACCTTGTGGCTGCCCTCGGCTTGTTGAATCAAGTGAAGCGGTTGCGAGAGAGCCTTTCTTGTGCTTCTTAAGCTTGATAAGCCAAACGTCCTTGCCCTCCTTACGCTTTTTGGAAGGAGTATGGGCTTCAGACTGTTGTGCCTGAATCAGGCGCTTCGGCACCGATTGTATGGCATCGATGGAGGTCGATGGTGAAGACAAGGCGACTGTCGATTCCAAAGCGGGCGTCGACATCGAGGCGTGCCCGGACGTCTCCTGAGACGAGGGCGTCACCGGCGATATCACAACTTCCATAAGCGCCACCTGAAGTCTAGCTGCCCGATTCTTCCTGGTCTGTTTGGAAAACTTGGAACAATGGGCGCAAGAGTCTACTTGGTGCGTTTTCCCCAGGCATAAAAGGCAAAGGGAATGTCTATCGGGGGGGGGGCATCTTACTGCTGCACTTTCAGCGCCATTTAAAGAAGCCCCACCGAGTGGCCATAGGCTGGAGGGAGGGGGCCAAGAAGCAAGGTCCAAAGAACAACTAACTAAAATACTTTCCTAACTAACTAAATTTGAAGAGAAACGTGGCCTAAAGGCCAAAAAGAGTAGTTTTACCGACTGGAGCAGAGAGGGTCCTACCAGCGCAGCGGTCAGAAGAGAACTGGTGGGATCGTCGTGCCCCTCCCTTGGTCATGTGCAGTGCAGCCCGGCACATGACTGGGGAGTGGGTGCAAAAATCCCTTTTGCTTTCCATTATACCGATCAGGGTCGGCGCAGGCGCACTATATCCCAGAGGTGTGATGCACAGAGACCACAAAGAAGATCAATAGTTCCTCTGAATGAAATGACTGCCTTGGAGGGTGAAGTCTATGGCATTATATATGTTTGAAGTCCCTCCCCACTTCAATCCCCACCATCTCCAGGCTCCACCCCTCAAATATCCAGGAATTTCCCAACCTGGAGTTGGCATTCCTATCTCCTTCCCACCCAACAGCCAACCTACCTATATCTGCCCCTTTGTCTTCAGATTTCTGTCTCCTTTCTCCCTGCAGCTTCTACTGAGGAAAATTATGGTCTTTCTCCAGAGTGGGGACTAAAGCAATTTATATTATTCTCTCAACCTAGGCTGAAAGTATGTGACTGGTCCAAAATCACCCAGTGAGTTTCCACAGCAAGATGGGGATCTAAACCTGGGTCTCGGAAACCCGACTCTGAAGCTCTGACCATTATGTCACACTGACTTTCATGGAGTGGCTGCTGTTGAACAGTAGCAAGCAGCCAGGCCTAGTTGAATCATGCAAGCCAGGTGGTATCAAGTCACCCAGAGGGTGCTGCTAGGCCTAGGTTTGCCAGCCTCCAGGTGGGGCCTGGAGATCCCCCAGAATTACAACTGAACTCCAGACAACAGAAATCTATCCCCCTGAAGAAAATGTGTGGACTCTGGGGCATTATATCTAGCTGAGGCCTCTCCCCTCCCCAAACTCTGCACTCCTCAGACTTTATCACAGAATCTCCAGTAATTCCCCAACCTGGAGTGGGCAATCCTAGTCCCAGACCTGACTCCAAATGCCTGGCTATGTAGCCATTCATATTTCAGGAGGAATCTCTCCCAATCCCAGATCCAGTCCTGCTTTTTTGCTTCCTCCCCTTTCTGTCTCTCTCTCTGGCTATCTCTCACTGTCGATACAGTGGGGCCTGGAGTAGATCCCTGAGGTAGCCATTTCAAAAGGCATGGGGGGGGGATTCCTCCCTGAGGTTTTAAAAAACTTTTTGGATTTCTCTACTCCATGGAGTCCCCTGAGTCTGTAGAAAAATCTGTTGGGGGACAGTGCACCCCCTATCTGCGGAAATAAGTATCTGCATGCAGAGGGGACTGTTGAGAATTATATAGATTTTCAGGATGAAAAATCCTGACTCTCAAAACAGGATATGAGGAGAAGGGGGACAATCTAACCAAACAGGTAGAAGAAGAGATACTTCCTCTATCTTTCCTTGAGACATGCCCAGTTCCCCCCTAAATTAGAGGGCAGCACCCCAGCACAAGCTACATAGCAAAATGTGCACACTTACTGTACAACAGAGTATTTGCTGGAGGTGAAGTCATACTTGGGGCCATAGATGAAAGGAACCCGGAAGTAAAAGAGCAAGTAGATTGACAGGGGCCCAGCGTATTCCGTGAGAAAGACCTGAAAGACAGAAAGAAGGGTGAGGAAGAGTAGGAAACCAGGGTGTGACACAACCAGGACCATCTTAGGCGGGGAAGAAGCATGCTTACAGTCACCCAGCTGATTTGAGCTCCCAGGTCCCGGAAATACAGTGTTGCTGTCGTGCCCACTGGCAAGTTCTGAAGGATATCTTCATCTTTTAGGGATCTCCCCTCTGAAAAAAAGGAGAGTCACAATGATGCTCCAGTTGCCTCAAGCACTTCTAGTGGGATATTAAATCCAACAACTATATTGTTTATTACATGACAGAGAGGCTCTGACCACCGAACATTCAGAAGGAAGCCACAATGAAGGGAAAAAATGGTTGCTTACCATTTATGAGTAGTTATCTATGCGTTCACACTACAGGCTCCACACCTGTGCAGAGCACTGCTTAATCTTTTAGAGCTAAAACCTTTGGGGTACAGGCCCCAGAACTGAGCCTACTGATCAATGCATGCCTAGAGGGACAGAGTCATGCCTTCCCATTCAGTCCTTAGCAGGTTAAAGGCACCTGTTGTGGGAAAGGAGAGTGGATTACAAAATCGCTTAGACCACAGATGACCACTCAAAGAACATTAGTTATATAGATAAGCAACCTGCTCATCTTCCTAATGGTCTCTGTGCAGGCATACCCGTGGGAAAAGATTAGCAAGCAGACTTCCCTGGGTGAAAGACAGGGGTGACGTTATGAGAAGAGTTCACTGAGCACTGCCCTGCTAAATGCTGTATCTGTCAGAGTCCTTACTTAATGCCTTATGAAGGTGAAGGTTGTGACTATGTGGCCACCTAGAGTTTTGGAAGGTGCATAGCTCTACCAAAGGCTGTGAGAGCAGCTGTCTCTTTGATACTGTCCTCAGAAGTGGTTTATGCACCAATTTCCTCTCAGTGCACTGAGAGGACACAGATTGCCATTTGTTCAAACCACCATGGCAAACAAATAGCCTTAGGTAATTTCTGGAGGAGGCATTCCTACCAACATAAAAAGCAAAAGCCCTGTGAACATCCAACAAATGTGGGACCTTCTCTCCATCCACTGGTGGTGTCAGACCCTTGAGTCAATCCACTCTCAGCCTAATAGTCTTTTCATGAAAGCTTTATTAGAAACAGAGATTTAGATGTGTACAAGAGAGAGCTCTTGGTCAGACTAAGGAATAGATCAAGGGTTAGGTATTGTATAGGTAATAGATCAAGGTCCCATAATGCAATGGTCATGCAGCGGGCATTCACTCCCCCACCCTCTTTCACTCCCCCTGCCTACTACCCTGCACTTCAAAGATTATTATCTAGCAACAGAGGTTTCTTCAAGGATGAGAGTCTCTTGGGTCTCGTTCTCATGGGAAAGTCGTTACCAGCAAAGCTAACCTGACACCCGCATACACACATACAGATATATAGCATTCACACCTACTCCCCCCCCCCCAATCCCTCAGAATCTTTATGGCAGAGAAGACTGGCAAGGGTTGAGACCAAATGGTCAAAAACGAAAGCTAACTTCAAAGACAGAAACACAAGAAAACATTAGTCAACATGACAATCAGCAGAGCCCGATTCTGACAGGTGGGTTAGAAACACACCTAGTTCTGGTGAAACCTGGAGATTATCTTGGGCAAGAAGGTTGTTAACTAGAGAGAGGACTACTTTCTCCTTGTGGGGGAGGAGATAGGGAGGGTCTTGGTAAAGTACAGTGCTAGGAAACCTGTTTCACAACATTACTGCTATCAGAAATGGTGCCCTGAGAGTCAGAGGTCTAATGTATCAGGTGGCTAACAGTTCAGAGGGGCATTTCTTGAGCTTCTATAAGTGGGAGTCACAAAACCAATGAAAATCAGTCTCCACTTCCCTGGCAGAACGCCTTCTGGAAGCAGAAAATGTAATTAGAATCCAAGTTAAAACTGCCAAGTGAACTTTGAGGAAGAACAGACAAAGTCCTTGGGAAAACAAGCACATCATGTTTTCCTGCAGTGAGGAAAGTGAACAGAACCCAGCCTTGAGATGAAGCAAACAGACAAGAACGGTCCCGCCTTACACTCTATCCAAGGACACAGAGGAAGGCTCAAACAGGCTTGTCGGCTACTAGATGCTCCAGCACACTGATGTGAGCTTGTGATTCCCATAAGAATCAGGCCTGAGTGGCAGCTGAAGTGACTGCCCTGCTTTCATTGAGAAGCATCTGTCATTAAAGTTGACTGGGTGCAGGAGGAGGAAAGCAGACACTGAGCAGTAGTTTTTGTAATTATGCCTACCACAAGAGTGCATGGAGGACATCTGCAGAGTTCACATTGTTTTGGATGTGAACTAGGACTGTAGAAGTCTGATTGTGGTGAGCAGCACTGCAAGGGTGGCTGCAGCCATGAATCCCAGGAGATGTATGACTTGGAGGACTGTTTGGTGAGGACAACTTATGCCCAAGGGGCTCTTAGGATCATGCTGAAGCTATCCTCAAGATATATTTGGCGCTCCAGCATCTATTAATGATTGATTTGATTGATTTGATTTATACCCCACCCTCCCCACTGAGGCAGGTTCAGGAGAGCTTACTTATTACTTAAACTACACTACTGCAATGTGTTATATTGTGCCTCTTCGCACCATGAATATCTGCCCTGCTCTTAACAGCAATGGAGCAGAATGTTCTAAAGATACCCAAATCCCCCCTCTAGTTATGTCTGAGCAGGGGAGGGGCAGTGGACCAAAACTGTTGGGAACTGAAGCAGCCAGTCTAAGAGAGGGTTTGGGGTTTTTTTAAAGAAAAAATGCAAACCCTTCATCTCTAAGCCCAGCTGCCAACGTTTCAGGGCAGCTCTTGTCTGCTTCCCCTCCCCTCAGCTGAGGGACTCTGCCCGCTTTGGAAAGCTCCACCATACTCATTGTTAGGGGCAACAGAACTTTCCAAAACTAGCCAAGTCCCTCTGACTACAGCTTGGGATGGGAGTGAATAAGAATAGGGTTGGGAGGAGCCGCAGCCAAGCTGAGAGACAATAAGAGAAGAGTTTGAGTTTGTTGAAAATACTATTTTGAGAGGGCAGACATGTCGGTCCAGTAGCATCTTAAAGACCAAAAAGATTTTTGGGATATGAGCTCTTGAGAGTCAAAGCTCCCTTCATCAGCTTTGACTCCCTCCGTCAGCTGACAAAGGAGTTCTGACTCTCGAAAGCTCATACCCCCAAAGGCTTGTTTGCCTCTAAGGTGCTACTGGACTCGAATCTAGCTGCCGAAAATACTAGGCACCACAATGCAACTTTTAGGTGCCAGGATTTGTTGAACCGTCTTCTAACTGCTCATCTGAAAAAAAAAGCCTGTGCTTCAGGGGATGCTCCTGGGTCCACAGAAAGTGTCCTGGGAACCAATTCAATCTTTGGATCTTGTCTAATACTGCACCATTACCTGCAGAAGGTACCAGTGCCTGGGATGGAGGAAGCTCTGCCTTCTCAATGCTGGTGGGGAGGACTACGTCAGCTGTGCATCTCCTGATCTCTTTGATCCCAAAGGGGAACGTACGCCAGTGCTTCACTTCCAACATCTCCAGTTTGCAGCTGGGATGGTGTTTGTGAGGTCAGACTTTGTTACCAGGAGATTCTGATGATAACTGTGGGGGGGGGAGATGGGGTGAGGGGAGACAGACCTAACATATGTCCTGAGGACATCAGCTGAGACTAAGCCATCAAGCCAGATACCAATAACACATGTTTACACAACACACCTTGTTAGGTGAATATCTGGCAACAGGGGCAGGATTCAACATGTTCCTCTCCCAAACATAACAGTCAGTGATTGTGGTTTCTGTGCAAGGCAATTTGCCTGTACACCACCAGCACTTTTTAAAGATGGCCTGCTGTACAACAGATGCATAAGCCAGCATGCACCTGCGCACTCATGACAAAGAAACTCGGAAGACTGAAGGAGCACGGAGAAGAAAATCTTAGTTAAATGCAATTATTCAATTATTCAAGAGGGAAAAGGCCAGCTACAGCGGTCGAAAGGACCCAAGTCCAAAGCAGTAGCTCTACGTCTGTACAAACACACTAGCAACAGGTTTGGGGGTGGTATGGTCAGACCTACAAGCCTTGTTTCTAGGAGGTTCTAACCAGTGCTCTGCAAGAACCGAGCCCACAGGTGTCATTATGCAGAGAACACAAAGGAAAAAACCCTTCTCAAATGATGAGGAGACAAGCTTGATTATGCTCTCATTTAACTCAGCAATCTAGACTTCCAGAAAATGTTGCTTCCTGCAGGACTATATGACCTTTCAAATGGATTCAGCACATGCATTCCCAAGGTCAAGTGTTATTATGTTAGTTACATTCTCTGATCCAAGCGGGTAGTCCTTCAGCCCACTGTTTGTTTATGTTTGTTCCTAGCCAAGTTCTATGGGGAGCAGTGACTCCAAAAATACCAGAATGTCTCATGATTCCACTTACTAGGATCCAGTCGTAGAGACTGCCGAGCCGGATACCACTGAGGATCTGGAAAGAGAAAAAGAGAATGGCATATAGGAAATACTTATCCAAGAAGAGATAACAGAGAATCATAACCATTGTAACCACCTCTATCACCTTTTTTTGCAAGGTAGACTAGACTAGACTAGACCAGTGTTCCCTCTAAGCTGAGTTAGTGTGAGCTGGCTCACAGTTTTTTAGCCTCCAGCTCACACATTTTTGTCTTAGCTCAGGGAGAAGGGCTCCAGAGAAAACTAAAAGGGGCAGCAGCCATATTGCTGGCTCACAACTTTAATGCCAGTAGCTCACAGAGTAGAATTCTTGCTCACAAGATTCCACAGCTTAGAGGGAACACTGGACTAGACTGACATGCACTAGCACTTGGCTTCGTGATCTGTTAGTCAATCTTATCTCTTTTTTCTTTTTCCATCAGCCCATTTATGGGAACCCCATGGGGTTTTCAAGGCAAGAGATGTTTAGAGGTGGTTTGCCCTTGCCTGCCTCTACACTGCAACCCTGGTATTCCTTGGTGGTCTCCCATCCAAATACTAACTAGGGCTGACCCTGCTTACCTTCCACGATCTGATGAGATCGGGCTAGCTTGAGCTATCCAGATCAGGGCAGAATGACACAATGTACAGCAATGTGTGGGAAATATTGCACTGGATCCTAGGGCATGGCTGGAGAGCACATGAGATGGCATCCTTGCTGAAACTAAACAGGTCTGGTCTCTGCTTTATTAGCACTGATTTCTGTAACTCAAGAAAGATGGGGTATAAATGCAATAAAATAAAGCACTGCATGTGCAGAGGGGAAATTTAACCCTTCAACATCTCTCCAGCCTTGCTCTGAAAAGGGCATTAGAGCCTCATGCTCACCCACAACTAGACTCAAAGAATCAGTCATGTGCCTAGTCCAACTCCTTGATGTTATTCTGTTATAGCACATTCCAGATTGGGGATACTTCTCTCAGCCCATATATGGTTACAACTGTTGATGATGTTTACACTGTAATAGATGAGAGCTTTCAAAACACTTCACCCAGCACAAGTTACCATTTGTCATACCTGGGAGTTGTTCAAACTGATTACTGACTTGTTGACTTAATCCAAGTGAGTGCCCATCTTGGGGATCAGGCCATGCTAGCAACGTTCTTACACTACATTGCTACATTGTGAGTCACAACACAAATGCAACAGTCAGTGTTCATCACAAGGTCACACATGCACAGAAAGGTTTTATTTTATAGAACTCCTTTACGACTTGACACCAGAGGAATAAATTTTGAGCATGCATGCACACATTAAGCAGCAGTTTCTATTATTTATGTAGTTTCCAGCTTTCAGTGAGTTGTCTACATTTATCAGTGCAACCATGGCAGACTGACAGCAGGGAAAACAACACATTTACACTGTCCTCATTCTAGCTAACACACGTACATTTTACCAGTATTAAACCTATCAACAAGCTTATCTAGACATTTGACAGTTATGACTGGGTAAATCTTGACTGGGCAAACCTAGACAGAAGAGTCTAACATCAATGGCTGTTTCATGTCCCAGGCTGCCCTGGGCTACTGGTTTCCTACCTCTGCTTTTGAGTAGCAAAATTCCTGGGTAACCTTAATCGGGAAAGGATGCTCCTATTTACAGGAAAGACTTTCACCTTGTTCCCTCCAAAGAAGAACATAGACATGGACTCTTTCCTCGCCACCTGCTATCCCCACAAGTACTATAGGTAAAGGTAAAGGTTCCCTTGCTCGACAGCCAGTCGAGTCCAACTCTAGGGTTGCGGTGCTCATCTCCATTTCAAAGCCGAAGAGCCAGCGCTGTCCGAAGACGTTTCCGTGGTCATGTGGCCGGCATGACTAAACACCAAGGCGCACGGAACGCTGTTACCTTCCCACCGAAGTGGTACCTATTTATCTACTTTCAATTTCTTGCTTTCGAACTGCTAGGTTGGCAGGAGCTGGAACTAGAGACAGGAGCTCACTCTGTCATGCGGCGTACTATAGTCAAGGCCAAAAACAATGTTCCATCTGCCATTGCTCCTTCGTGATTGGCACCACTTGGCACCTTTATGAGAGTCCAGGCCTTTTTACTGGCTATGAGAGTCTCAGTAGTCACAGCCCTGAGAACCACAGACTCCCTCTCTGCCCAGCAATCTCAGTTATACTTACAGCCCCAGACTTGCCATACAACAATAAAGGGTCCGGTACCAAGACAAATTGCAAAATGCCATCATAAAAACAAGTGGCTGAACACTCTGTCCCTTGCTGAGATGGACAAGTCCCACAGTAAGCGCTAGGACGTTAAGGGAAGAAACTAATAGTAGAATTAAATGCAGTTGTCTGCAGGCAGGAATCATGAACACTTGTTCCCCATACATACGTGATTTAGTAAAGAGGCTTTTAATCTCTGCTATGGTGGCATTGGGTTCCACCTGAAAGAAAGCACAAAGGAAAAGATCAAGAAACCAAAGCATGTTCATTTTCCTGTCCAAATCAGAATAAATCCTAGAAGTTAAAAAAGTGTGTCTCCCATTAAAGCTCTTCATTGTCAGACCTTGTAGGCCCTCTACAGAGAATATTTTCCCCAATGCTTTTTAAAAAAATCAGAGACCAGATAAATTCCAAAAAGGAACAGAGTACTAGAGAGGCTCAAATCAGCTTTGATATTCTTTGAAGAAGAAGAGGAGGAGGCAGAGGAGGAGATTGGATTTATACCCCACCCTTCACTACCCGAAGGAGTCTCAGAGCGGTTTACAATCTCCTTTCCCTTCTCCTCCCCACAACAGACACCCTGTGAGGTAGGTGTGGCTGAGAGAGCTCTTTGAAAATTGCTCTTGAGAGAAGTTCTAAGGGTGAGATTTAAAGTACAATTAAAAACAAAACAAAACCAAGCATCTGTGCCTGCACAGCAGGGCAAGTGGCTGCTAAGACTAGACCACAAACATCTGCTAGCAAGGGCAGCATGGGTCACTATCTGGAATATCAATATCTATAAATAGGTGCAGGTAAAATCAGAATCTCCAAGCTTCTAGAACACCAACCTAAGTTTGACCTACCATGCTTTCCACTGCACATTGCAGCCAGTTCCAGCATTTTTTCTTTTTCACATGGAAAGCCAAAAAAGGCATCATGAACGGGGTGTGTGTGTGTGTGTGTGTGATTTTCTTATACCAAAAAGGTTGGCACGGAAAAAGCAGGAGAAAAAATACTAACAGCAAAGTCAGTAATTCACAACAGTAGCTAATAGTAGTTAAATGGAAACGTGTTTAGTTTCACTATAAGAAATTTCTCAAGAACAAAATACTGATGTCAAAGAAAGTAAAGTGCTATAATAATTTAAAAGATAATTCTTGATGCATTTCACAGATCTTCAGCAAACAAACAGCCAAACATACCACTAAAGCATAATAAATATATTTTTAAACTCCCATGAATTCTTTCAAGGGTAGATATAGTATTTTAACTTGTATGATACGCAGCTTTTGTTCTGATTCATTGTAGAGTTGTTCTTAATAACAAGTTGTTCTTAATAACAAGGACAGAGGGAAAGAATGTATTATCAGTATTGTAACATTTGCTCAGGAAGCAGGATTTGGCCCACCCTGATGCAGATTTTTTCTTAAGTGTACAGTGCTGCCAGTGGTTTGTTGATGGTGGAAAGAGGTTGTGCACAGAATGGTGAAGCCAGTTTCTAGCATAGTTTACTATGTATACTACTGTTGCTCCTTAAGTTAAACACAGTTCAATCACGCCAAGTCTCTTACTCTATAGATGCAGTGACAAGCTGTTCATTCACAACAAGACAAGATAGTGTGCATTCTCCAAGACTGGATTTTCTAGCCACTACAGCCATTAATGTCCCCACTGCTTTGATACGCAAAGTAGAAAAGGACTGTCCCTGCACAACACATCTGCCTCCGACACCCAGCAACCAAGAAGAATCTGTTGAACAGTCCAGCAGATGGCCTACAAGCCAGAGAGCACACAGCTCAGCTTTCGGATCAAAGCAAGAGAGATATACATGGATTCCAGGGCAGGTGCCAAGCACGGATCAGCACCTCTAATAGCCTGAAAAAGCAGCACAACCTGGGAAGTGCAATCCATGTCTTGAGTTACAGCTAAACAAGCAGCAGGAGCTATGACTCAAGGTCTGGATTCTCTTCTGATTCTGGTATTCTCATTCCTTGCTGCTGCTTCTTAGGAAGCCTCTTCCTTTGTGTAGAGACAGTTTGGCAAATTAAAGGAAATGAAGCAGAATGAGATGATCTGACATTTGCTTTGTGGAGACAGCTCACAGACAGGACTTCTAGATAGTACTGCAACTGAAGTCAGCCACAGAAAATGATACAGGAGGGAATTGCTCAACAGGTGGGCAGCACTCCACTCCAGTCTAACATAAAATATAATGTGAAAGAGTATTCATGTCTGACGGGAGGCACTTGTTCTACAGCCTTCTGTGAAGCAGTGTGTGATTGCAGACAACCATTTTACCCAATGACCAGGCATCCAGCTCCCATTTCTCCGGATATGAGACATAATTCCCTTAGTACTTGGCAGGATGATACAGCTTATCAACTACACACCACACTAAGTTGCCCCTTGCTGAATGCCTTTTCTATATTCATTCTCCACACTGGATTATGAGGCAAAGTACCATATGGAAACTGTCAGAACACATAAAGATTTTTTTTTTAAAAAAGGAATCAGTCAACTCACAGGTCCTTGTTTCTGGGGAATGTGGACATCCTCCCTGCACGCAAGTTAATCTTTTTCAGCACTTAAATTGCATGCTGCACTTGCTAGGAAATATATGTCTTCCTCCAGCAAACTCAGTGCTTTGTAACATTTTTTTTTTGTTCTTCCAAGATAGAGGATATGTTTTTAGGATGCTCCTAGTAACAGCAGCCATTTCTAACCCTGGGAAGATCTGCATTGCCCGCACGAGCAGATTGCTGGATCTAACCCACTGTTATGTAAGCACACATGTAGCTGTTAAAAAAAAATAACCAGAGCTCCTTACTCAAAGAAATGATACCTCAGTAGTTACAAAACCTTTATTTTAAAGGGGATAAACTGGCTTTTCCCCTTTCACTCGGCTCCCTTCCCCTTCTAATTTCTACATTACTGTTATAGGCTCCCCATTTCCATGAGCAGTTAGAAGTTCTGATGGCAGTAGTAACTGGATTTCCTCTGGAAGAAAGAGTCTTTTCATATTTGCTTTATTTAAATATATATTATACACACACACACACAAATAGAGCAGAGATGGAGGCATTGCTACAAGGCAGCAGATGAACTACTCCACATTAGTTTCCCCAAAAGAGAGGGGTGCATACATTCTGAACCATAAGGGGCTTTGCCATCAGACAAATCTCATTGCTTTCTCTGGGTTGGATCCAGACTAAATTTTCCACCTGCAGAACTGACCATTCCTGCCTTTTTCCTTCCACTGCAGTCCAGTAATTCCCACAAAAGTGGTCCTGAGGGATAGGGAACCTTGAGGAACAACATGAAGGGGGCTGCAGTGGGAAAGGGGAAATCGGTGGGAAATGCCAATTTAGTCTGGATCCATACCACTGCTTCTTTGTTAATGTCTTCTCAAATCTGAACAAGAGGAACACTTTGTCCCTCAGCTGGAAAAGGTCACCTCCAAAGTTTACAGTCAAAAACAGAGCTATCATACCATCATGTTCTTGAACAATTTGCTCCACTGAGGAATCTCCTACAAGTCCTACATAATGTCACCATAAGCAAAACCATGGTGATAGACTTTTGTACTTTAATTAGACTGCAGGCGTGAACTGTCACTGCTGTAGGAACAGGTTTCAGTGAACGCATAATTTAAGGGAGAAGCTGCTATCTACAGTCAAGGTGAGATCTGAACAAGCCCTTAAAGTCATTGTTCTGGATTTTAGACAGTTACTCTGGAGAACGATACGTTCTTAGAAAGCTATAAAACTAGGCCAAATTGTTTACCCAAGCTCTTAATTAAGGGGCTGATTTTTAGAACATAACTTTAAAGTCTGTTTTTAGCCTGCAAAGTGTATAAGATCCATGTTAAGCTGCTCTGTGTTTTATGCTCTGAGTATGTTTTAATACCTTTTTTGACGTTTTATGTTTTTAGTATATTTTGTAAGCCTCCTCAGACAGATATTTTCCAAATAAATACAGTCCTGAGGACCACTTCACATATGTTTTTTCTTTTGTTCAGTATGTCTGGCCATATCAGTGCTGGCAGCTACCAGCCGTGACCTGATTCTTCCTCCAGACTCTGCTTAAAAATGGGAAGTGAGGAAGGAGTTCTCATTCACCCTTGCCTTTTGTCACTGTGGCATGCTTTTCATCTTCTCTGAGCACCTTAAGAACTCCCAAGAAAGTCTTCAATAGTCCTGTCCTGCGGAGACATGAAGGCCCGCCCTTCAAGGACATCCCCCCCTTTCCCCCCAGTGTTCACATCATATTACTGCTAGGGCTTAAGTGCCTCAGAGCACGCTCTGCAAGCCCTGCCTACCTTCCTGGCTTCCCACATAACAACCAAGTCTTTCTTGACTTCTGGCATGACCCCACCACCACCACCACTACAGCTGCTTTGGTTACCTAAGCAATGGGCACTGCCATTTTCCCAGTGCCCTGCCCAATCTCCAGCCTTGGAGTCTGAGTTCTCACTGGGTATCATGCCTAGGGTTGCCAGGTCCCCTTGTAGCTTTGTTGGGGGGGATTTGGGGGGCATTCCAGGGGTGCATGGGGATATCCTCAAGCCCCACCCCCAAGCAGGGCCGGCCCGAGGTATTTCTGCACCCTAGGTGTGGCGCAGATGCCAACCTCCCAGTGGGGCCTGGAGACTCCCGCCTGCTGCCCAAGGGGAGGAGGGCCCCGAGCCAGCCAGCCAGCGTTGAGCGGAGACGCCACCCTGGACGACGGGGCGGGGGGCTTCTCCAGCCACGCGCTTTCAGCCCACCCACCCCTCCCTCCTTTCCTGGGCCCCAGAGCAGGATGCCACTGGCACCGCCATGCCGTGCCCGGGCTTGAAGCAGTTCCTCTTCCAACGGGGCGGCTGATGACGAGCAGCGAGTGAGGGCAAGGGGGAGAGCAACGGCCTGGCTGGTGGGTGGGGGCGGGGTGGGCTTAGTCGGGACCAGCTGGGCAGCCCTTCAACTCGCTGCCCCAGCGGGTGGCTCGGGGCTGTTTGGGCGTGCTGCCCTGGTAGCGACTGAGAGTCCCGCAGGCATAAGAGTGCAGAAATGTTGACCTATGGCCTCTCTTCGCTCAGCCAAGAGTCATAGAGATGTGTTGGGAGGGCGGGGGTGTGGGGGGTGAAAAGGCTGCCTTGCTTTTGAAACCAAGCCAGATTGCTCGCACACAGCGAAAAAGGCAAGCAAAAACCAATAAGGTTGGGGAGAGAGGTGGGAGGGGGTGAAAGGCAGGGGAGGGC